ACCAAGACCTCTTTCCCAATCCACTTTCCCTCTTTTCCTATCTTCCTTCCACCACCAAATCGAGAGAAACCCCTTCCCATTCTCTTCTTCTCCTCATCCAAGATCGAACCTTCTTCTCCTTTCTCATCCACGACACTAAGGAACTAAAGAGGGAAATTAAAATCAAGGCAAGGAAGTCACTCCACTAAAGGAAATCTCAAGGCCAAGGTATAATTTCTCACTCTTTCCCATTCCATTCTAGTATTTTTATGATGTAGGCTATACAGATACTTGGATTCCTCCCTCCCCTCTTCTTAACCACCTTAGTCGAACCTCCCTCATCATGTCATCCCCATGTTTCACCCAAACAAAATAGATACACATCTCCACCCATTTCTATTCCGCACCCGAAATCCTAACATGTATCATTTCTACCCATTTCTATCCCATACCCGAAACCTAAACTCCACTTCCACCTCTAACATTGCTTTGGCTATTTTTGTTTGTATGAGGTTTCGTTGAAACTTTTTGGATGTATAATCTTAATGTTTGAAATTTTTGCTACTTCTAGTTTTTACTTCATTTATTTACACTTTTAACTTCACGAATTAGTTGCAATTCATTTTTTTAACTATGTAAATAAAGATGCATAGTTGTTTATTATTAGATATCCTCCATTTATGTAACACCATCTTTACCTTTTTCATAGTCACATAACATGGTGTGGCTCACCCTTGTTCTCAACCTTCATGAAATCAAACTGAAGCCAGACACAACTTCAGTTTCTTAATTGTCTCCACCTTCATCAATATATTCTCAGGATTTTAAACTGTGTGTATCTTCTCTAAGAATAACTATCTATCTTCTAGGAGAGAGTGAATAAAATAATAGATCAGCCAAATTTGTTTTAACTTGGTATGAAAACTAACATTCTTAGCAAGGTTAATTGCACTCATGCTGTCACTGTTAAGCTTTTCAATCCCCAACTCATTGTCTAATTCTTCCATAAAACTCTATAACCAAATCATCTCCTTGCTAGCCTTAGTGATTACAATATATTTGAGCTCCATGGATGAAAGTGCAAAGATCTTATATAACTTGAAAACCCAACTCATCGGTGTGTTCCTAAATGTAAGGATATATCCTTTTGTACTTTTCATGATATCCACATCTCATACCAGATCTGAATCTACAAATCTCTACAGATTGATCCCTGCACTTTCATTGCAAGGTGATTTGTTGATTGTTCATCTCAATTATATGAGAATCCATTTTATCGTCTCACAATGACGACTGCCAGAATTGCCTATGTATCTACTTCATACTCCCACTGCATATATAATATCTGATCCGATACAAATCATCGTGTACATCAAACTTTCAATTATTGATGCATATATAGTTGTCTCCATCTTTTTATGATTTGTTTCAGAGTTAGATGATTGCTTTTTACATAATTTAAAGTGACTAACTAAAGGATTGCTAACTAGTTTTGCCTTATTCATAATGAACTTCTATAAGGTCTTCTCAACATATTGTGCCTGAAACAACTCCATTATTACCACACTCTCTTCATGTGATTCTCATCCCGATGATCTTTCTGGTTGGACCTAAGTCCTTCATCTCAAACTCACTTGATTATTTTTTAATTCCTTAATTTTTTTCATATATGCCCCTGCAATTAACATGTCATTCACATATAAAATAAGATATATATAATAATTACTAAAATATTTGTTGAAGAAATAATGATTTGTATGACAATTCAAGTATCCAATGTTTGACCTAAACCTGACAAATCCCCTGTACTACTGTCTCGAGGCATGCTTTAAGTTATAGGGGCTCTTCTTCAATCTATAGATCAAACCTACTTTGCCTAAAACCTTATAATCCTGTGGTTGCACCATGTATAGTCCCTTATGTAGATTTCCATGTAAGAAAGCTAATTTAACATTCATTTGCTCCAAATGTAGATCTTCCTGAGCTACTAGACTCAGTATAACTCTGAAAGCTGTCATTTTCACCATAAGAAAAAACGTCTCTATATAATCCACTCCTTCTTTCTATTGGAAACCTTTCATAACAAGTCTTACCTTATAACACTTGCATCCATCTGACCCATCTTTCAGTTTGTAAACCCACTTATTGTTAGTTCTCTTTTGCCTTATGGTAGTCCATCAAATCCCAAGTCTGATTTGACTCTAAAGATTGCATTTCTTCATCCATGACACAATCCCACACCCTTGAATCTTTAACTTCAGTGGCCTCCTTAAAACACTCTAGTTCATCACTATTTGTTAATAACAGATTGTGTAACAAAAACGAATACATGTGTAAGGGTCGTATCACTCAATCAAATCTCCTGACTTCAATAGCAGGTGATTAAGTGACTTTCAGTGCTCCTTTTATTTGAGCTCTATATCTTTATCCAACCTTGTTGTCTGAGTTCTAATCTCATCCTTGTACATCTCCATTTCAATGAAAGTGACATCTCTGCTTCTTATGAGTTTTTGATTTTGATAATCTCATAACTTGTACCCAAACTCAACTTAGTCATATCCAATGAAGTTGCACTTAACAGATTTTGAGTCAAGCTTGCTTCTGAAACTTGCAACAACATGCACAAATGTAAAACACCGAAATACTCTTAAATAATATAGATTTAACTTTTTGTCACTTAAGGTTTTTTGAGGTAAGCCTTTTTCCAAAATTACTAATGGGCCATGGTTAATAAGATAAACTGTAGTGCATACTACTTCAACCCAAAACTATTTTGGAAAGCATTCATGCAGCCTTATGTTCCTAGCATTCTTCATGATTATTTTGTTCATGCGCTCAACCATACCATTATGCTGCAAAGTTCTTGGGATAGTGAACTCATGTCTGACCTTCTCTGTAACACGTAAATTTCTGAACTTCTAATCACGATACTCACTTCCATTATCTGATCAGAGACACTTTAACTTCAAATCTATCTCATTTCATACCATAGTTTTTCACTTTATAAATACTTCAAATACATTAAATTTTTGCTTTACAAGGTAAACTTATACCTTTCTCGTGTAATCGTTAATAAAAAAAAAGACAAAATAGTGGGAACCTCAAATGGACAAAACTAGAGTAGGAACTCATACGTCAGTATGCAATAACTCCAATTTCTTTAAATTCACCACTGACCCATTTTAGTGAAATAGACTTTCTTCTGCTAATCATATATACATTCTTTAAAAAAGTCCAAATCAGCCGATTTCAAAACCTAGAGTTTATTTTAAGAGAGCGGGAACTTCGTAACTTTCTTGCTCATATGAACAAGCATACGATGTCACATACCTACATCCATCCTAGTTCCAACCACGTGAATGAAATCAACCATTTCATTAATTAGGTAAAAAGTGCCTTTAATGTTGCCCCGAGTCATTACCACCGCTCCACAAATCACTTTCCACAAATCACTTATGAAAGTAGTCACGAATCCTAACTTCGCTAGCTGACTCACAAAAATGAGGCTTTTCTTCAAAATTGGAACACGTCTAACTTCAGTAAGTTTCTAAATTGTTCCATTTGACATCCTGATATCAACATCATCATTCCTGAAGATACTACAAACATTGTTATCTCCCATAAAAACCTTTCCTAGATCACTCAAAGTGTAGTTTTTGAACACCTCTTTATTGATTCTAGTACAAAAGAGGCACATATATCTATTATCCAAGATTGATTACTGAATAGGGATAACACCAGAAAGACATTTTGGATTTCACCAGCGGAGACATCTATAGAGAGATTATTTTCTTGTTCTTCATCACCAGCTTTCCTTGGAGCTTTACCGTCCTTCTTAAAATGTTCATTCTTTCCACAGCTTCAGTATTCTCCTCTGTCATTTACTTTGCTTGACCTGGACTTTTCTTTCCTAGACTTGGATCTGCCTTTGTTAGTATTCCTATCCAAAATCCTTCCTCTATTATCAAGATCAATGCAGAACCAGAAGATTCATCATTTGCTGCATTTCTGCTCACTTCTTCATTCAACATCAATGTCATCAAAGTTTAACTTTGTATTACCTGAAGAATTACTCACCGCCGTAACCAAACCATTCTAGTTGTCTGGTAATGAAGACAATATCACCAGTATTCTCGCATCATCATCAAACTTAATCCCCACAGAGCACAACTAGATCATTAGAATGCTGAGATTATTCAGATGTTCTGCCACTGAACTGTCTTTCACCATTTTCATATTGAATAATATCTTTATCAGAAAAACCTTATTTAAAGCAAAATGTTTTTCCTACATCTTGGTCAGTGCCCCTGTGAAACCTACAGTTATTTTTTATTTATAATGTTGAATGCAACAGTCGAGGAAAGTGACAATCAGATCAAATCTAGCGTTATTCAATCCAACACGTCCCATTCCTATATAACCATATAATTGGGCTTCTTGGTGATTCTCTGAAGTGACAAATACAATTTCTTAATACAATAAATTCTCCACTTGCATCCCTTAGAATGCGAAGCTCGTCTCATATAACTTGTCCACTTTGAATCTTACTTCTTCGGTCATTGCTTCTACTCGAATCATACCCCACTCTTATACCAATTTTTCATTGGGAACAAAACAATCCCCTTACTTTACTAGGGATTAGGTTTAATAAGAAGCAATACCACACCACGAAATAGAATCAAACAAATTCAAGAAAACTAGAACAAAATTACTAACAGAAGCTCAACAAAGATAATCTATAAAAACATACAAAGGTAATGTAGAAAAACTCGAGAACGGGAAAAAAATCACGGAGTCACACTACAACAAAAATTCTACTATAAACCATAAAGTTTTAGAGAGACCTCACTCAGGTTTTCTTTCTACAATCAACGAAATTTGTTGGACCTCTATAATTCTTCTCTCTTGATTCGACAAGTGAAACAAACACAAAATACTCCTCTTTGAGGCTTCGCACTTTCATAGGAAAAATATTGAAAAAACTTGTGCTATGGAATTTCCTCACTGGAACTCACAACTTTCACTGCTTGAAATAAGCCTCTTAAGCCGAATCGTGAAAAAACTGCATCGAGCGCTTATGCGCCCCGAGATTGGGTGCTGGAGCACCGGCCTTTCAGGAATAATACCTTTTAAACAGGGGTGTGGGTGTAGGAGCCCCCACAGTTGGGCGCATGAGCACCCTTGATTGGGCGTAGGGGTGCCTAGTTACTAGGGTGCAGCGCAAGTGCACCCGTAGCTTGGCGCTAAAGCTCCAAGCACTCGGTTTCCTCTCCTAGCTGTTACCCGCTGCTTGTTGTTGTGGCTGTGGTGCTCCAAATCAGGCTCAACACTAACATTTTGAATGGTCAAGGCAAGCTCGAGGACAACCTATAATTAGATAACAAATACTCACAACTATGGTGGTATGTATGTAAATTTCGCAAAAAAAAAAAAAAATGTACTTTCAAAAGTAGCTGCAAGTGAGAAAAAGGCTACATAACTTTTCAAGCAGATCCAGCAGAAAAAAAATGTGAACTTTGGTCTAGAAACTGGCAAGCAATCTCATTCTGTTAGGGATGAGAGGGACGTAAAATCCGAGGTGGAGGTCCAGGTTGCGTCCTCCTGCTCCGCTAATTACTTCAGCTCCTTTTTTCTCTGTAACCGAAGATCTGATGGGTCGGCACCCACACAGCGGAGGCCCCGTCTTCCGATTCATGCACACTGAGGTATTACAAAATCTGAAAATCGCTCCTTCGCTTCAACCCACATGTCATTCATCACTGTTTCTTCACTCTCTGTTTTAGGGTTTTCGTTAAGCTTTGAGTTTTTATGAAATAAATTCTTCGAGGAAGTAGGGTATTTGCTTTATTTGTAAAGTAATTTCATTTCTATTGGTAAGAATGTCATTTTATCTCGAGTTAATGGTTCAATCTCATGGGACTTGTGCTTTTTATGAAATTTTTTCTATTATTTCTTTGATAGATCATACAATGCAAAAGCTGCAGGAATTCCAGAACTTAACAAAGAAATTTTTGAAGTTGTTCATATCTAATGAAAGAATTTCGCCATTTTTAATATGAATTTGATGATAAAGCTATTATATTTCTTTTGGTTAGCTGCGTCTAATTGCAATTCTTTCTAACCTATTCGCATACATGTTGAAAACTGTGGTAGCAGCACTTCTTCGTGCATTCTTGTTGGCCCAACTGAGAGGAGTTGGGATAAATGACGAGTAGAGAGCGCTGAAAGCTCTAAAGAAATTTAGGTAATGTTTGTTTCTGGGAAGGGAAAAGGGGAGAGTGTATGTGACAAAGAACTATTTCATTTCATAATTGATTTCATAGTGCTCCCCAAGTGGAAATATTTATTGAGATAAGGATTCATTAATAACCTACTAAGAATTAACACCATTTAATCTACCTATTACCATTGTTTTACTACCAACCCACTTAATCCATTACAATTCTTTATCATTATCCACTGTTATAAAATTGGCCATGCGGAAGAAATTAAATTGGCACAATATAAGATAAATCCAATAAGAACCCCATGAAAGAGCTGGAGAAGGTAATCTAAAATAGTGGTGAACATATGAAATGTGGGCGGCCTTCAAGCCCTTTCTAGAATTTATTGACTAAACTATGTGTCGACCTGTTCCTTTTTGTCTTGTAAGTAATTTTATATAAGTGTAGGGTAATATCGACGTGGGAGGATTTGTGGTCCGTTCGGAGCGGATACAACATTTTATAAAGATGGTTGTAAACCTTTTATGAGGAAATCAACTTTTTTGAAAGCTATTGTGAGCATTATAATTTTTCTTTTTTAAATTGAACGACGACTTCTTTATGACTATGACAATTTAGCATATCAAGTTCTCCTAAGGAGCTTCAAACTGAAGGACAAAATTGAGGAATATAGATTGATGCCCTTTCCCTTTTCCCTTTTTTAGATCCTTTTATTTTTCTCCCAGCCACCATTCATCCCAAATATCCCTTCTATATCTCATTATTGGATGTCAAGCATTGACCCCAACTACGTTAGCACCCTCAAGATTCAAGGATTTTCACTTAGCTGTGACACACCTTCTTGAGCTCAATTAAGCTTGGTTGTCATCTCCATTATATTTAGCCTACCCAATCATTTATGCACCAACTTGTATTAGTCTCGTCGCCAGAGATTGCTACCTCTAAACCACATCTCATTGATCTTTTGCGACGGCAATCATTGCAACTTTAGACGCCTTCACACCCTGCTCGACATGTCGTACAATATTTTCCCATATCATTAACCCAAATCCTAGCCCCCTTGTTGGATTTGTGTCTCATCAATGTTAGGGATTTATCGTCCATATCTCATGATTTCTTTTATCTAATTTCTATGAGCTTGAGTTTAAGGTCCATTTGAAGGGATGAGTATGATAGAGTATAGAGGATTTGGGATGATTTATTCTTATATTGGGTTAATAAGAACAATTAATATATTAAGAGTTGGTTAGCAATGGATTAGTACCTTTTTTTTTATATGCACTTCTTCTAAGGAGTGCTTAAGGGATACAAAGGGATGAACGAATGAAATTCTCTCTCTCTCCCTCTCTCTCTCTCTCCCTCCTTCCTTCACTCCCTATCGTCTTGTTCTTGTTTTCCCTCCGCTTCTTCTTGGAGCTTGGGCAATTCTAGAACTGCCTTAATTTTCTTGTTCTTTTTTTTGTTCTTCTTAATTTCTACTGGATGGTTCTTAACAGTAAGAACTGTTTTTCTATCATTTATCACTTAAAAAACACAAGCTATTTTATCTTTCCTCAAAATTTTCATCCTATTTAGTTGAAATTGGACAATTAGAAATGGTTGCATACTGTCTTGATGTTGATCATAAAAAGGTTTTTTAGCAAATTTATTGCATCCAGAATTCTCGTCGAAAGAAGAAGAAATTCAAATAGTTGTATGCTGGTATTTATTAAAATGTAAAACCAGTAAGGACATATTTCCTTTAGCCGTATATTATCTTGATTCCAGAAGTTAATGTTAACTGTTCTGTGATTTTGATTTCGCATAGAAAAGTTGATCATCTTTTTTTGTCTGTATTTCTTAATTTGAGGATATGCTTTTCTAGATAAAACGTTAAGTCATGTTAACTGCATCTAAAAATTATGCAAAGTGGTCATCTTTGATCTTTTTCTTGTTCTTACTTTTCATGAAGCCTCATGGATTAGTCTCCTTTTTACTCAAATTGTGAAATTCTATAATTTTCAAAACTCCTTACTCTTGACTGCATGTGCTGCTCTTTGATTTGGGCCTATGAATTTGGCCCAAAGATTGAATACCACTTGAAACCAGGATCAATTTTCTGCTGAATATAGTTGATGAGCCAACTGACATGACAAGCCCAATTGAAATCAAATTTCCATGTTATTGATACTTGAATGCATCTAGAACCAATGAGCCACATGCTAGAGTGTTTCACGCCAATTATATTGTTATAACCGGTTAAAAAAATGTTAAAAATCAAATGGAAAGCACCTCTTCAGTTGTGACTTAAAGAGTTGTGTCTTCCCATTTCAAACCAAGTGTAATGGAGAGAGCGGGAGACAGAGAAGAGAAAGTATGAGAGGCAGTGTGTGAAGAAGAAGACGGAGGAGGTTTTGAGTGCTTCTCCTACCGAAGTTTTAGTGACACCTATAGAAGAAGTTGATTGACACTTGCGTTGCAGAAAGAGAAGTGTTGACCTCAATTTTCGTGAGGTCTAGTATTTCTCGTAGGAGTTAGGATCTAGCTTTAGGGGTCTTCCCGCGACTATCTTAGAGCCTTAGAAGTGGTGCCCGCCTCGTTTTAGTTCGACCTATTTCCGTCCTCTTTTGGAGGTTTCGCGTGTGTGGTATCGACTTCTAACACTTAGAAGGATGAAACCGACATGAGGAAACCCAAAATGGATTCCTATAGGACCTTTCCGAGCCTTAGG